CCTTAATAAACTGGAGTTCTCATTACTTCTTACTCTTCAGCTCACAATCTGCAGGACAGAAAGTCAAAAAGAACAGAAAAACAAAGTCCAAACAGCAGGGTTACAACATTCACTTCCTTAATTTGCTGTTGGTTCTTTCTCACAGTGTTCCAGTTTGCTGCCCATCCGTTGGTATTGGAAGGAAAGTGGGGGTTCCTATTGGTTTAGCCAGTTAAACAGTCTCATCAAAGAGAGATATGCAACAGGAACACCAAAAATGAATATACAAGACAACCATACAGATGGGTGGGTTCAATCTCCTGTTGACAGCACTGAGCCATTACATTGATTCAGCTGTCATATGACACCTTATACTAACGTGCTAACGCCTGAGAAAACCTTTTAAGTGCTTAAAGTCCAGCAGATGCATGAGACCCTGCAAATGTGATACAAAGATAACCTATAACGTGAACAATACCAGTTAAAAAAAAAATGTAAACTGTCTTCCCCATATCTCAGAGGAGTATGAGTGAATTACCTCATTTGCATTTATATACCTATACCCCACAAGAGTACTTGTTAACTGTGAAGAAGTCCTTCTCGATCCACCTTTGATTTGTATTGATGCACACCTTGAAAGAAGCACTAAGTTACAATTACTTCACAACTTGACCAAAGTATGCCTGTTGTGAATTTCTGCATGCTTATTCTTCTGATTAAACCCTGAGATAGCTACAGCAAAAGCATATTAGGCATACAGTCAAGTACACAATACAATTTTTAAATAAAGATTTCAAAAAAATAAGGTCAAAAATAATATTTGAGATGTCTCCTAGAACTAAGCCCTGCCATAATGTTCTTAAAAACAGTTAAATACAGTCGATTTTCCATATTAAGGTAAAATAAAAAAGTCTGAAGCAAACTCTCTTTGTACTTGGGCTTACTTTTAAAAAGATCTGCTGGACCTTATTTCAGTTCTTTATTGACTCCATCTGAAGCTAATGCCTTACTCAAAAAACATTTACCCAATGGTCATTGTATCTGCTTATGAGCAGTAATAATAAAACATATCACCACTGCACTTAAAATAAAACTCGGGAGACATGCTTGTGTTTCCATTTATCTAAAATATTAAAGAGTTCTTTTTCCACAAATCAACTAAAACAGAGGATATCCAGAAGGTGACTGCTACTTTTGGTGATGGGAAGACATCTAATGCCACCCCCAATAGTGACCCAAAAGGCCCTCTCAGTGAGTTAATTCCCCTTGCCAATTAATCTCAAAAAAACTGCCCCAAAAACATCAGAACATTTTCTGCTGGCATTGTGAAATTAATCAGCTCAGGGAAAAGCCACACCAGCACCCAACAGGAGATGGGGAAGGGATGCACAGCTGGGAGTGAGATTGCCCTTTTCACTGACAGCAAACCGTTAGATCAGCCTGATCCGCTTGTAAAAATGCACTCAAATCAAACCAAAATCTCCTTTCCCTACCTTCTGTTTCAAAGAGCTTCAAGAGCAGGTTCTGAGAAAAGGCCCTAAGGAAAGGTTCACTTATTACTTCTTATGGAAAACACACACAGAACAATTTCCTGGGGCATTACTCAAGCAAAACAATGCTATCTCCAGTGATAAGAAAACAAGGAGAGAGGGTTAGAGGTTTTTATGTAAATAGTATTCTGGATCCCAAACGGTATTACGGAGCAGTCTCTGAACACAAGCAAGCAGCAGAGACTGGGAGGGAAAGCCACGGTACTTAGTCGCCTACCAACTCGCCCCCCCACCCCAGTCTTCTCTAATTGAAACTCTGAACTTGGGTACAGAACAGACTTCTGTTCCACACAGACACTGGAACCATGGCCATTCTTTCCTGTACAGGGCTCATCAGAGATGCAACTCAGAGCTAAACCTGCCCTGCAGAGCTGCTGGTATTACAGGGGCAAGTGCTCACAGGCACTAAATGCATGTCCAGCCCCTGCTGCTAACCCCGAGGCAGTTACAGCTCTATTATTCATTACTTTACCACTGAAGAACACATTCCTGTTGGCTTAGTTCTGCTCTCCTAGCAGGAGCACTTGAAGGCAAGCACATTTTTCATACACAGAAATAACGTGGACACTGTGAGCAATGAGAACGCTCACATCACTGATAAAATTAACATCTCTTGTGCAGTTCTTGCAGATTTGACTTACGCAGCTGGCCACTAAGACAGTTCCACATTATTAGCTACCCTGCCTTACAACACAACCAAAGCACAGAACTGCAACAGGAGGGCACATTTCACACACCACAGGCACAGTTGCCATTTGCGAGTTCACACAGGGCAGCCATGGCGTTCCCCTTCTTTATTGCTACAATATGAATCTTCCAAGCTCAGCTTTCCATGTTTTACTTGAATTGCAGCTTTTTAGAGATAGAAATTTTTAAAACTGAAAACCTGTCAACTCCTAAATGCTACTACAAATTTTAAAAAACTGCCTGTTCTTTTACTAACATCTATTAAGCGTTGCGATGCATACAATCAATATGCAAATACTACAACAAGTGAGTTGTGGTTTTCTTCTACAGTTCTAACAACCTTTTACATCTAAAAAGACAGTTATGAAAGATTTCTAAAATACACTGGAAACCATTCTGACAGAAACGACATATTTTAAGAGACACGTTAGAGAGCATATATTTCTAAGGTCCTATTTTCAGTTCTAAAACAAAATATATACTAACATTTTGAAAGGTGATATGATGTTTTAATAAGCAGAAAAAACAAACAAATAAACAAACAACAAACCCCTCATCACTTGAATTCCACACAGAATTTTTAGGCCAGATATAGTCAAAGCCAACTAGGTGGTGGTATAAAAATAATATTTTTATGCTTTTGATGCCAGGAATAGTTTTTTTTGATGGTTGGTTAGTTTGAGACCTTCTAAAATACTTTCATAGTTAAAAATAGTTATCAGGCTCAATATTTCACCTAAATTTTCACTAAAACAAAAACATTCCTCAATAGTATCAGTAAGGAATAGAAAATAAAAGAAAAAAACTAAACCCCATCTACTTTCAAATTCAAACACATTTACAGGACAAACCACCTTAGGTTAAAAAAACCTACTGAGTTCCTCAATAGCTTCATTATATCAAATTCTGTGGCGCATTAACACCACATCTGCTGACACTAAGCAAGTAAATGCTTACAAGTTTTTTTTCAAATAATTCTATTGTTTTATATTGTTTTATTACCTGTTTGGTCGGCACCTGCCTTCTGCAGCGTACCCAGCTGGTAAACACAGTAGTTCTTTTGCTCTATTCCAGCAGAGCAGTTCATTCCATTACCACGATACAAAAATAGAAATAAGCAGATAATTTAAAGAGGATTCAGCTAGTATCTGCTATTGTAAAAGCATGATCCCAGAAGAGACTCTAAGTCTGTATTTCGCAAATGATGACATCACAATATTAAGTGACACTAGTCAGGCACTGCTGATTTCCACAAAATCACTCGTAATAATCACCATTTGACACATATTTAATAACCAAGAGAGGAAAATTCATCTTTAACAGCAAAACTGGGGTATTCTACTTTCTTTTAACCTGGCACATAGATAATTCTATTTCTTCTGAAATTGTAACATTTTAAGAAAAATTATTTAGAATTGAGAGCTGTGAAGAAACCAGAAAAGAGCATTAACAGAATTGATGAGATACACCTATGGAGACATTTAATAAGTTGTGCCCATCACAGCGATATGAGGCTAAAAGACCTTCACCATCAGACACAGCTTCTGATCAGAGTTTTCAAGCACATAAGGCAGTAACAGCCTTAACAGACCTTATTCTGTAAGCAGCCTTCAATAGCCCACACCATTGCAACATTAACTTGCTCTAATTAGTTGTGCACAGGAACAACTTGTTTAACAAAACAGAACTGTCCCTGCTTTCCCCAATTGCTCCTGTTACTCAACCTGATACACTGAAAAAAGTGGTTTATAATACAATCAGGAAGGCTAAGAGAAGTCTTCCCAAGGAAATCCCTTTCTCCCACCACCACCACCACAAGCTTAATTCCATATTTAAGGTTCTAAGTTCACCACCCAGCAAGATGGATGAATGTCACCATCTCCCTCCTTTGCAGGTAGACACATAAGGGGAAAAAAAATTAAAAGCCACACTAACTCCTGAAAATAGCAAACCACACAGCAAATGGTGAAAACTGTATCTGACAGCCTTCAGGATCCAAGACATGAAGGCTCAAAACTGTAGTATTTTAGCAGAAGGTAAAAAGGAAAAAAAAAAGTAAAACAATTTTCCATTGCCACCTAGCTCTACTATTCAAAAAAGGAATATAAACTAATTCTACTTTTTATTAGCACAATACACCATAATATTTAGACATTAACAGGTAGTAAAAAAAAAATTAAAAATAAATCTTCATACAAACAAGCTTACCCATGTTCTTAAGTCAAAAATTCTCTATACAATGTCCATATTTCACCTTGATTTATTTATATATTTTATTTATTTAAAATGTGCAATCCTCAAAACACTAAAAAAGGAAAACATATACAGTTTTGAGGTGAAAAAACTGTTTAAAGGAAAGCCTTGGAAAACTTAAGGGATTGGAAAAACAGAGAGAGAAAAGATGACACAAAACTTACACCCTGCACTGCAGTCACAGATCTCTATGTAGCACTCTTCTGTCTAGACAACTCTCAGTGCCTAATCTTAGCTACATTACAGTTTAAAAACTTAAACAGAAATTCTTATCCCAAAAAGAGGAAAAAAAGCCACACAGGAATGCAAAGACATGGAGAACATTAGAAATCCTGTAAAATTGTTTCCAAGTAAGTCACTAACAAATGACAGTGTGAGAATGATAAAACAGTTCTAAAGATACCATTATCATAGTAACTGATTAAAAAAAAGGCTTTTTTAAACCAAATTTATCAATTTAGCAAAATAATCATGATCTGAAGAAAAATATTAGAGATCAGTTTTTACCAGGTTGATGGCATGGATACATACTGTAATCAGGATGTAAAACATGTGTCTCTTCATCTTCATCTATTGTCTGTCCCAGTGAAAACAGTCTGACTCGCCTCATCTTCAATAGCCTTGGAGAGCTTTCATGGGCAGTACTCCCAACATTCGGAACTACATCACCAGAGGCAACAGTGGGAACAATCTTTTTCAGGAATTCCATTTTTACATGCCCTGTGTTCTCAGCATTTACTAAATTCAGCAGTTTAGCTCCACATTAGAGCGTGGCTCCCACATCAACTTCCTTGAGCACAGAGGTAGAACTTCTCCTAGTTATGTCACGTTAAACCTGGGTGGTGCCAACACCAGCACGTCAGCTGCCAGCCAGCTGCTCCAAGGCAGATTTTAAAGACGTCTAACTGTGTGGACTGATAAGAAAACCAAACAACAACAAGTCTATATATTAACCAATGTATGCTAAACTCTGTGCGCCTTAAAGAAATTGTATTTAGCACTGCAACATTTTAAGCACTAAGAAAATTCACAACACATTTTCAAATTCCTGTCTGACAGAGTTCAATAGTTCTAATTTTCATGAAGTGTACAGTGTCCATCTGCATTTGAAAGATTACACTTATCACTCAGAATGTCTATACGCCAGCTCAGCAAAGCATCTAACATCACCATTTGTATTCTCACATAGTTTTAACTACTAACTACAAAGATATTCTGTCTTCTGTGAAGTTTTGTTTTGTTGAGACTCTGATGCTATTTTTATCACTTAAAATACTCACCCCATCTTCCAGAAAACTACAAGTACAGAAATAACCTATCAATTTTTGTCCGAACATCCACTTTATCCCTAGGGCTACTTCTCCTTATGTGTCTGGTTTAGCTGCGTATTTTATTTGGGGAAGTTTAAGCGTTGTTTTATATTTGGCTTAAAGAAGCCATTAAGCAAGATGCCTTGCATATAGAGCAGAGAGTTCACAGAGGGGAAAAAAAAGGATACATTAGCATAGAAGAGTATTCCTTAAGGCTTTCTACAATCAGGAATAGAATATGTGTCATGGTTCAATTTAAAGTATTCTTTTATTTACAAGACTTGGAGTGGAGATGCACAGACAGAATACCAGAATACAGACAGAATTCCCACCTCATTTGCCACCAGAGATGGTGGACTCAGAGGAAATCCACCAATACTCAACACATCAGTGGCAGCCTACAATCTGTTATTTTTATGAAAGCAGCTCAGTGTCCAAGACATTGCTTAAAGCACTCAATGTAATTATCCAAACTACACATGAAGCACACACACTATATACAGTCCTTAAAAAACAGTATTTAATCTGAAATTCATTACTGTTGTCTAGATCTTAAAAAAGAAAAAACAACCAACAGAATAACCTGTTTCAGGTCTCAGAGTTTCAGTAGTTCCATGCTTACAAGGGGCTACTTAACTGCACTGCGTTATCAGTCTTACTCTGTCATGTCTGTGGTTCAGAATGCCACAACTTAAAAAGTTCTTTAAAGTTGCCACCGAAGACATTTTTCAAGTTCTACATAGACTGATAAAATAGGGTAGTTTTTCTATTCAAAACTGCATTAAAATCCCCCAAAGTTCAAGTCAGTCCATAGTCCATTTGTAAATAAATAAATAAATCTCTACACAACTTTTTCACTGTAGGTGAATACAAAATTCTGACCTTATCATAAAAAATACACTGCTAGAATATTACTTCCTACAGAGAGATCAAGCAGAAAATTCTCCCTATAATGATTTCATTCACAGTATTTTTCTCACTAATGAAGAGAGTTACACAGAAGAAAAGTGCTTTAAGAGTTTTCAGAACAAATAATAAAGATATCATACAGACAATTTGTGATTATAAAAGATTATGAGTCATTACAAGCTCAAGCAATCATTTATTCATAATAGCATTATTTTTTCTATAGAATTTCTTTTTTTGCCCTTGAAATCTTGCCACAAACCTACTTTGCAGTTTCTAGCATTTGGGAACAAGACAGAAATTCATATGCTTCTGTGAGAATGAGAATGCTTCCAGCCATCCATCCACCTGCCAAACTACAGTTTGCAAAGATGAGGTAATCAGATGTTTTGCTTTGTACCTAACAAACACACTCTGAAAGGTTCAAACTAGATATCAAAGTGCTCTTAAAACACACTATGTGGACACACAGTAGAAGTGAAGTGTAAGTACCTCATGCATCACTCGCATTGAATGCATAAGGTGTGAGTTTTTACACAAGATGTAGCATATGTGAGTTAGCCATGAATTTAAAAAAAATAAGGGTTGAAACTATACTTTTTTTAAATGAGGAAACTCAGCAGCCTTTCAAGTAATAGGATATACAAGAAAACCACAAGCAAGGAATAAAAACCACTCTCCATACACACGATCTTATTTCAAGGATAAACTAATAAAGTTTATACAACACAAATGTATCACAAAGCTTTTGACTGATTTTTTCCTTCAGGATGGCTTTAGTTTGACTCTTAAGAGAAGGACATCATGAAGTTTTCTACAGAAGACAGTTGGGTATATATATATTTATATATGTATATGGATGGATGGGGGCCAACTCCAGGACTTCCATACTCCATTAGATTCTGTGAAAACAGCATTTTGTAAAAAATGAAGCCCAGACACAAGGCTTATATTTTTGCCTATGTCATTTCACATACACTCTTCCTTCACACTTGCTGTTAGCATCTTCTTACACAATTCACTGTACAATTCTGGTTTTTATTTAATCTGAGCAAGTTTTACATATAATTTGTCAAGAGAAAACATGAGAATCTTATAATAGTTATATGTAAAGTCATCTTTAAACTAAATAGAAAAGGCTACAAACAGACTTATTTGAAAAATTTTAACAGTTATTCTGGAACCTCTAAATAGAAAAAACAGGACACTTGCTCTTATATAGAAATATTATTTGCATTACAGTAAGCCCTTTGATGTCTTTCCATGTGTATTTCACTTCTGTTACACTCAAAGGATGACTGATTTTGCACTGAAGTGCCTGCCGAGCTCATTCAGGCTTCCCTTGCCACAGTTCTTGATGTTTATACCACTTGCTGTGCAACATAATGTCTGAGCACCTCATCTCCCACTAACAGGAATCCACATTAGCAAGAGTTCGCATCATAAAGGATTACAAACAGATCATGAAACATGTAGAAACACCGCACTGGGAGACCCAGGGAGCGATCACGGTAACAGCACTTCTCAGAGCACTATCTCTTTGGGTTAGATCTTACAGGACAGAAACAGCCAAGCTGGTTGACAGGAGAGCACAGGAAGAGCACCTACATGGGAATTCCACTGAAGCAAGTAAACTTGCTGATGAAGGAACATCCTAAGAATGAGAAACACTTAAAAAACAGAAGACAATCAATGAAAGAAAGATCCACTTGAGAGGGAGCTACTTGCAAGTCACTTCAAATTCACATCTAGAGAATTCTTAAAATTTACAAAATTAGCAATAACAACAGTAAAAGACAATTACAAACCTGACGACATACTGTGAAGTACAATTTTAGAAGACAGCCTAGATGCCCTATAGCCTACCATAACAGTGCATCTTTTGACAAGTCTCTTCCGGGCCAAACGTGCACTGGACACCTGCAGCTTTGTAACCAGAACTGCCCCACCCCGCCAGAGCAACACCAGCCCAGCCCAGCCCAGCCCAGCCCTACCTGCTGCCAGAGAGAGGGCAAAGTCTCCCTTTATATCTAACGTATAAGATGGCAAAACAGATCCTGGTGGTTCGGAGGCCAGGAGGAAGAGCGGTGCCCTCCGGGCTTCTCCGGATCACCGTGCCGGAAGGGAATGCCACGGCTCTGAGGGGGAGCCCCGTGCCCCCCACCTGGTGGAGGGGCCAGGCCGTGCCCTCACCCCCCTCATCCTCCCCGGCTCCCGAGCCCAGCCCAGCCCGCCGAGCCGGAGTCAATGGGGACGATGCGCCTGTCGGTGCCGCACAGATGGCCCTGGCACAGGAGAAAGGGAACTGTGCCCGACTTCACGGACCCCTGCAGCACGGACAGAAGACAAGTTGAGGCTAGCCTGGCTGGCATGGTGGGAACACGTGTTCCAAAACACAGCCACACTAGGGAAACTTCCCTATTGGACCATCCAGGAGCTACTCCGGCCCATCACTCTCACACCACCTGAGCTGGGACTAAGGCCCCTTCAGAGCTACACACCCCACACTCACACTGTCAGATCAGGATTCCTTACGGGCTTGATCCCAAGGTTTTCCATAGCAGAGTGTCAGATCATGGAGTCCAGATCCTTAAAACAACTTAATCATGGTCTAATAACTAAATCACAGAATAACAGCTCGAGGTGGTGCCCCCGAGGAAGGACTCTGAACTTTTACACCCTCACAGCCTAACCTGGGGTTTTCCAGCTGAGCCCTCGGCTCCTGCTGTGTCTTTGAGTGTGTGGGTCACTCGCTCAAAGCCACAGGTCCCCGTGCCCCTTGTTATGCAAAGGGTGGACAGTTCAGGGCCTCTTGCCTCGGGCTCCTGTCCTCCCAGAGCTCAACACGAAGCTGCACACAGAGCTACCTGCGTTCAGTGTGCTCCTCAACAACCATTGGTACGACCCCGCTGGCAGAGGAGGCAGCTGGAGGCGTTCCTGTGCCAGCACGGTGGAAGTTCACACTGCAAACCTTCTCAACCTGATGATTTAAAACGTCTTTTCCAACTTGAACGATTCTATAATCTCCCCTTTAGATAAACACACTGCTATGGTGTGGCACATCTGTTGGCACACAGAACCTGTGCTTTCTCCCAGGTTCTCAGCAATAGGGCAAAACAACACATCAAAACTATTCCTCTTCCAACAGTTACAAACTGAACCTTCAATCCAGTCCGGAAGTATAAATTCACACACCTGCATTAAATTCATGGGAGGTAATGCAGATACTGGACATCTGTGTTCTACCTGCTAGCCAATTAGCAGGACATTATCATAATTTCACACAAAAGACTGCTGAGATAGGGAAAACAAACCCCGTATCACATCTATCTTTTTATTTTAAATACAGAAAACTGAACAAACAATATAACCTAGAAAACAGTTAATTTGTCATTTTGTGGTGCCATATCACCTTTTAGCAGTTGGCACTAGCCACTTTGAAGGAATATATTTAAAGGAATTAACTCTGCATGTCAGAAAGTTTCAAACTTTAAAAATATATTTAGGGTAAGAGGCTATCTTTCATATAACTTCAACTCATATATTACAGTTAATTCCCAAGCTATGAGGCA